AACCTCCTTGGGTGGAAATGAAAGCTGCACGCTGACGCTCCCGACAGCCAACACCTGAACTCTCAGTACGTGGGCTGTTCTCTTGCTGCTGCCTTTGCCAAGGGCACAGAGATCCAGAAGTGGCTGGGCACTGACATTCCCCAGGCAGCCCTTAACCGATGATTTACAGGTGCAGGAGGGCAAATACTCCAGCCTTTTGCCCCGCTGGGGGCAACTGTCAGGTGGGACTCAGGTCGTTGCCACCCCCCCTCACCCCCACACCGGACGAAGCCCGAGTTACTCTCCTGGACTTTGCTGGATCTCACATCCTTCACGGCCTCTTTCTTGTTCCTCATCTTCATTAGTCTGTGTTTCCTGGGAGCGCTTCCTAATAACTTACTTTCAGACAAATCTTTGTTCAGGATCTATTTATGGTTAACACCCCCCCACCACCACCACCCACACACACATATGCTCAAGATAGAAAGAGAAGAAAAAAGAGGTAGTGATGGTTCCTGGTCTTCATGTTGCTACAAACGGTGATGCAGTGAGTCAGAAGCCATTATGAATAATAAAGTACAGCTTTGCAGGATTAACTACCTTTGTCATAAATTAGAGTATGTTCAAAATTACCTCTCTACCATGATCACTTTCCCTTACTTCCATTCTGATGTGCCTTTTGACTGGGAAAAAGGCGAGGCATTCCTGCCCACTGGGGTTAGCACAAAACTTGCACCTCTATTATCCCCTATCTAGATCTACCCATGGGAATGGGTCCTGTATGTAAATATCAATCAGTGTGTGTTTTGCTGTGTGAAAAAGGCTGAGACATGCTGGATGGGATCCCGGGGAATCCTGGCTTTATGCCTGCCTGGACTAGGTTCACAGGAGGAGTGCTTGGAGGCCTAGGCTTCCCCAGTCCCTCGAGAGCAACACACCTCCCTCCCACCAAGAATGTCTTATGCATTCATCCTATCCTTTCTCATAAAACCACCTCTTCCAGAAAATCTTAGATTCCTTCCTGTCCCCACAGGGCCCACTCTGAGGTTCTCTTCTTCAGCACTGTGGAAAGTGGCTTTTCTTGGAACCACTTTCTTAGCACCTGGCCCACCGTCTCCCTCCCTTCAAGCTAGCTGAGTCTGAGTTTCTAGCTGAAATCGCAGGCTGATCAGCAGGAAGCCCTTCAGGAGCCGTAGCCACGGCAGGAGGTGGGAGCTGCGCTGGGCCCTGCTGCTGTCACAGAGTCATGGCTATGGGCAGATGAGCTTAAGGCGCCAGAGCTTGGCACCTTCTGCAACCAAACCTGTCAGTGAAGCATGGATGCCAGGGCATCTGCCCAGCCCACCTGCCAGGTGTGGAGCCTTGCCTTCTTGCCTGCTCAGTCCACTTGCCTGGGCCTAGACAGCTCCCCACAGGGCCTGAATCTGACCCTCACACATTGCTGGGGTTCTGCTCCCAGTAGCTCCACACACTGCAGTATGGGAGCCCCTGGATGCCTTTCTGTGGTTCGGCTATGAAAAGACAATTCCCTATCCCCTAGATGGAGCTCAAGCTTTTGGTGCCTTTTGATTTCAGAGACTTGGCCCCTGGCCACCTCTCCCAGGGCAAAACCTGGAAGGTTTCTGCCCCTTCACTAGACTTCTGAGTTCTAGCAAGCTTGGGTGCTGAGGCTTCTGGGCTGGTGGCACAGAGCCCATGCTCCTTGGTATCACAGTTTGTTCTCTGAATCTTTCTCGACCCCCTGACTGGGGAGTGATTATTTATAAGGAAAGGGTCCTGTTTTACATTTTTAGATCCTCTAAGGCTTCTCGGAGTAGTATCTTACATACTTGAAGTACACTCATAAATGTTTCCTGATTAACTGTAATTCCTCCTCTAGACCTCTCAAGGGCCTGGCTATGGCATTCATTCATTTAATCAGTCATTGTCTTTCCCTCCACCCATCTATCCATTCACACCTACCCATCGTATAATAAATATTTGTATTTGAAGGAATGACTCCGTGTCCTGTGTTCCCATCTCACAGACTAGAAAGAAGTTTTTTACCCTAAGAACTTAAGCTCCCTAAGATTGGGAGAGTCATAATTATGACTGGAATTTTGTGCCTCTTTATTCCCTTCACCTGTTTCATCCACCCAGCCCCTCCCCCATGGTAACCACCAATTTTTGGGAATCAAAGTACAGCATAGCATAGCGAATATAGTCAATAGCTCAACATCTATGTTGACAGAGAGTAGCTACACTAGTAGGGGTGGGGATTTAGTAATATGTGTAACTGTGCAATCACTGTTGTGTACTTTAAACCAATATAATACTGTATATCAACTGTACTTCAATGAAAAAATATAAAAAAACCCTGGGAGCATAGAATGGGCATATTTTGAAGGTGAGGGTGGGGATGACAAAGTGGAGTCCAGCTGCTCTGCATGCAAGGTCAGGTAATGACTTCCCAAGGGACGGGGTGGGCTTGCAAATTACAGGGCAGGTAGGAAAATGCTTCTATTTTTCCCAATGGGCTTAAGACTCTACTGTCCTTAATTGATATTTGTACTTGCAAGGTGTGTGTGTCTCCACAAATACACTTCAAAAAGGATGAAGAATGTATTTGCCACTCCTACTGCCCCTGAGACCTTGAAAGGGGACTGGCCCGGGGGCTTTTCCAGACTGATGAGCTGAGACTTGAGAAAGAAATGCTAGATTGCCTGAAGGCAGCAGGGGCATACCCATGGGAGTGGGTCCTGCACATAAATGTCAACCACTGTGTATTCTGCTGTGTGAAGAGGGTTGAGACATGGTGGATTCCCAAGGTATGGAGACAGGTTTCCAATGTGGGAGGTTAGAAGGAGAGACACTTTGGGGATGCCAGCGTGAGGCCTGGAATCAAGGTCTGGTGGGATGAGAACAGTTGGAAAAGCCCCCGTAAGAGGGCTACACTTCTGGCTGGTGTGGGGAAGGCATAGTAGTACTCACTTTTAAAGTCCTCTTCTTCATACATTATAGTTTTTGCCATGGACTCCACCGGATAGGAGAGCTCGAGCCACCCCAGGGCAGAGAGCAGGGCAGAGGGCTGCTGGGAAGGGGATCTGCCCTGGCTCTCCACCGTGCCTGCCTTTCCCCAGCGAGCGGCAGCTGAGGCCCATTGGGCAAGGCGGGGAGGGCGGGAGGCGCAATACCCAGGTCTGTGGAGAGGTGGCTTCCATTCAGAAGGCAACAGGAGAAAACCTCCCTTTTTCTCAAACACACCAGAAAGAATACACCCCTGAGGCAAAGGGAAAGCTAAACTTAGGGGGATCCTTGGCTCAGCACCTGCTTTGGGCACTGGGACATTCAGAGGATCAGAGAGACACAGCCTCTGGCGGGGCTGGAGGAGCTCATACCCAAGAATAATCCAGTCTGAAAGTGCCTGCCCAGAGGGGAACGGGCAGCCAGAGGGCTCTGGAATCAGTTTCAGCTGGGCTCAACATGGGACCACGGCCCAGGTGGGTACACCCTTGGGTGCGTGGGTGCGTGGGGGGGCGTTCCCCTGCTGCGGGCTGCAGGGCTGGGGGGAGGCAGGTGGGAGTGGCAGGGGAGGGCCTGATACACCCGTTCTACTGGCTGGAAAGGAGTGGTAGGTTTTGTTGACTAAGGGCATTTTTAGTGCCTCGCTAAGAATCTTTTCGGTGCACAGTATGAAGGATAGTGTAATTAGCAGTGGTTCTCAAAGCAGGAAGGGGCATAGCCTCACCTGGGAACAGGTTGGAAATGCAAATTATGGGGCCCCATCCCAGACCCCCTGATGCAGAGATTCTGGGGTGGGGTCCTGCAATGTTTTAATAAGCCCTCTAAGGTGCATCTGATGCAGGTCAAAGTTTGAGAACCACGCACCAGACTCTGGAGGAGGGTGAGGGATGTGGGATGTGGAGGGAGGCCGCAGGGGGAGATGTTCCGTGAGTGGAGGCCTGCTGTGCTCTGAGCAGCACAGCCTCTCCTTTAAGCAAGCTGAGCATAACCAGGAGGGTATGTATCATCATACTATCATTAGAAATGGGAGACCGAGGCTTGGAGGCATTAAAAATTTGCCTGACATCATGCAGTAAGGGCTACAGCCAACTCCTGCACCGTTTGGCCTGACTCCAAATGTGGGATTTCCCCACCACTGCAGATGCCTCCTGACACCCCAGAGAACTGTGGTCTGGGCAGCAGTGCCTGGAGAGCCCCTGGGTGCCTGGGAGGAGGGAAGGGGCCCCCCGAGCTTGAAGCTCCTTCCCCCGGGTCTGGTGGTGGGCCTGTCCTGAGGCTAATGGGAGAGCATTGAGGCCTTCTGCTCTTACTCCAGTGCTCAATTATTTGCATTTTCACAGCACACACCGGGGAGCTGGGCTTAGCAAACATACTTTCCTCAGTGACCAGCTATCTTGTCATCCCTGACTTCTAGAGCTGGGAGGCTAAATGGGAAGTTGCAAATGAGAAAAACTGGGTGAAAAATTATCTGTATGCTGTGAACACAACTACTTTGGATTGAAAAAAAAAAAAGATACATTAAGAACATAGAGGGAAAAAAATGCTAAAGGAATTTTTTTCCTTTCTCTTTTTCCAAGTTGTGTTATGTGGTTATAATGGTTATAATAATTTGTATAATGAATATGCATTCATTTATTTGTAAAAGTCCATCCCATGTGGTATGCAGTGGCACAGTGGACAGCTTGTTGCCCAGTGGCTCTTTCTTCAGGGTAGTGTTGGGCTGTCCTGTCCCTTGGAGTCTGTCCCCAAGCCTGCTGAGGACAGCAGCTGGGACACAGCCTGAGGAGCCATGGGGCACAGCTGATGTGAGAGGTGCTGGACATTCCATGAGGTTAAGTCCCAGGGTCTTTGTGGCCTCTGGGAAATGCCTCTGAATGACAGCAACCCTGGGTCACTTATGAGGGACTTGGGGGCCAAGAACCCGAGTATTGCAGGTCATTTTGAGAACAGCATCTAGAAGTACAAACTCAGAGGATAGGCTCAGGCAGCCGCAACTCTCCAAAAAGGCCAACAAACACTTTAAACACAAAATATTCTTTTATTTGTCAACGAAGGCTACACGGGATCACTTCTGGTTTTGTTTTTATGCCTTTTTTTTTTCTAGAAGGTATCTACATCTGCATTTATTTACAGCCTTGTTGGTATTTACACAGTCAAGAATAAAGTGTTAGAAACACAAAAGTGTTGAGAAAAAAAACTTCTCAAAATTAGTCCCAGACTTCAGGAAAACTATTTCCACATGGTAAGGCCAGAGTCTCCAGTGTTGGTCGTTCAAAGGCAGCTTGGGGAGAGTCCTTCTGCCAGAGCTGCAGGTTCAGAAGTCTTCAAAAACAGACAGGTTTAGAAAAGAGGGATTCTGGTGTTGGGTGAATCCAGGGCTGCTGGGCACCACCAGGCATCTGTGACTCAGTTTCTGCCAGGATAGCTGGGCCTGCCCGAGGCTTGGTTCTCTGCTGGCAGTTTGCCCTCAGAGTAATCATATGTTCTTGGGGACTAAGCGGGCACCCAGGATCCGCCTTTGGCATTCCAGAGGGGGCAAGAAACCCAACATTGGCCCCACCCAGGCCTCCCCCCACTCTGATCTTCCACATTTACGATGCAACCTCAGAGCTCACTGCTGTTTGGGGCGGTCAAGTAAGTACACGAGGCTGGTTTTTGAGAATGTAACAGTTGGAGAGGATAAGTTTCTATCACCTGAGCAACGAGTCTTTAAAATGAGTTTGTTGTTGTTTGAAGGTTAAATGAAAAGGCCTTGAACTACAGAGTTCTTTCTTTTAATTCCCTCCCTTCCAATAAAACAGACAAGTGAATACACCTAGCTGGGAATGATGAGCCTTAAATGGAGGGCTTTTAGTCCTAAAGAGGATCCCAAGGGAAAGAAGAGACTGGGTTCTTTCTGGATGCCCTTGGATGTGGGCCCCCCCAGCTCAGGACCAGAAGCCATGGCCTGGGCTCATCGGCTGCTGTGAGGAAGGGAGAAAAGGTTTGGCTTGGAGCACCAGGAGATCAAATCCCTGGCACACTGCTTCCTCCTGGGCCCCGCTCGGTGTCCCTGCCCTCACTACGTGGCATCCACAGGACAGGGCTGCGGCCGTGGATCTGCATTCTAAGGTTTCACACCGACAGCCTCGTCTCTGCATATGTAAACCCCTACCATCTATAACAAGTCACAGCTGAAAAGGTCTTTTACATTTTTTTTTAAACAATTTTAAAATTGATTCCTTGCTGTGTTGTCTATAAACACTGCCCGGTTTGACTCCCTTCCTTGTCTCACTGGCACCTTCTGCTTCCAGCTGCACCCCATCCTGATGCTTTAGCAGGGCACACGCTGGCCATTCTCAGCCTCTGGCCAGCTTCTCAGGGACTGTTTCACCTCCATCCCTAGGCAGGAATCAGGCACTGGTCTGTTGGGTCAGTTCTTAGCTACCAACGCTGAGACAGGCATCAGGGGCCAGCAGAGGTGTGACTGACTGTGGAGTTTCTTCCCCTTCTTCCTATTGCCATGGCTCTGCCCTCCAGGCTGTCAGGAGTGTGAGTGAAAAGGAAATCTCACCCTATAAAAAACAAAGCTGGGGGACCACTAAAGTCCTATTTGAAGTGATAGTAGAGGGGATGAGGGTGATGGGGCCAATGGCAGCTGAGGAAGGTAGGGGGGAAGGCAAGAACTCTTCTAAAATAAACCTTTTTCTAGGTTCAGAAGCTGACATCCTGCAGAATCATGAACCTGGGCCAGTGAGGGAGGGCTGGTCACCCCAAGGAATGGACACATTTGGCTGGGTAATGCCAAAAAGGCAGGTGCCATCCAGGCTGGGATTTGATGCCTGAAGACTCCTGTGCAGGTGCCGGGAATGCTGGCTGATGCTTTCAGACTCTTGCTGTGAGGTCGGGACTGCTGGACTGGACAGGAGGACAGACTGAGAAGGGAGGCATCGAGTCACCTGCCAGCGTGAATGGAAACCAACTCAAAAGCGCCAAAGCCAGAGCATTATCTCCAATAGCAACAGCAGCGATGTGAAACCGAGGTGGCAAAGGCTGCCTCTCTGACACCTGATGTCCTTATTCTAAAGGCTGGAGATGCTTCCACTTCTCCCTGCACTGAGAAGCTGGGCCTTCTTGGTGGTATGTAGCCCAGGAAAAGTATAACATCACTTGTTTAAAGAAAAGGAATACTCAATAGTTCTCTGCTGTTGATCTTTAAAAGTCCACACTCTTAACTTTGGTGCGGGGCTGGTGGAGGGTCAGAAGGTCAGGGAGCTGTGGGGAGATGAATCCCTTGACCCTCAAGCTGTCTCTGACCTCCAAGTAGACGTTCCCAGCAGGTGTTGGCTGATGTCAGGCAGCTGGGATGGAACTGATCAAGTAGGCCAATGGGCAGGAGAGGTTTGCCCAAGGGCCCCTATATCAAATGTACATTTTGAGAGGCATAAGTCTGTTTTGGATAAAAAACTTGTGTTCTTTAAGTCACACAGTTTTCCATCCCATCCAAGAATGGTCCTGCTGGAGAGAAGCCCACCACCAGCTCTTGCCACACACAGCGGCCCAGGAACACTGTGACTCAGCGGAGCTCCGTACCCAGAGGCACCAGGCAGTCAGGGGACAAACAGGCCAAGGGGCACTGTCGCAGCAGTGTGACATTTTTTGGAAACAAGAAGAGCACTTAGCGAACCATCCTCTCATCCCAGTGGGATGATGTAAGGCGAAACCTCCTCTCCCGAGAAGCTTTGGATGCCTCCCTCTGCCAGGCAGAACCCAGACTACATGCTGCTCCAATGCTCATGCAGTAAGAGACCTTCTTGGTTTCATTAACTTGTGTAATAATATTCTGAAGACTCTGTGAGTAAGGCTATAAAGGTGCCATGAGCTTATCAGTCCAACAAGGTTTCCACAGGGGATAGCTCAGACTCAGAATTCATTTTTCACACTTAATGTAAATGCAACCCATAAAAGTCCCATTTTCTAGGAAGCCCAGCTCAAAAGGAAGCGTTTGCCTTCCCCTCTTGGTCTCCCGGAGCCTCCTGTGAGTGGTAATGACAACGGTAATTAGGCAGCTGAACCCGGAGCAAGGAGCTCCTAGCTCTTGCTGCTGCTGTCCCTTCCCCGCTATGCTCCCTTGGCCTGTCGGCTGCTGCTCTGCCTGGGCATGTCCCCCAGGTGTGGGCCCTACCACTCTGGAGAGGGCTTATGCTTTTCCCCAGTGACCTCAGGCATAGGTCTTCGCAGGGACAACTGTAGCCTGGCCTCCGGATCCATGGGCGCCAGCCCCCAGTCCTGGTGGGGCTGTATAATGCCGCCAGGCCACTCCAGATTAGCCCTTTCCTCCTTTCTCCTTTATCTTTCTTTAAAACCCTGGTTAGGCTCCTGTAGAGGGGAAGCTCTTTTAGAAGAAATTCACAGAAGGAGTTTCCTGAAGGCCGTCCTGCTGCACCCCAGCTCTCAGTTGGCCGGTGTGTGGGTGGCAGAAGAGCCTTCAGGAGCTGGTGAGGAGGATGCTGGGCTCATGCCTTCCTCTCTTTGGCTGACTCTTTCTTACACATCCTTCCAGAACCAAAGGCCACCAAGCCCCTCTCTGCATACTCCTATTCCTCAGTGGTGGCGGCTGAGCAGTGGAGGGCAGATACACAAAGTCATGGGGAGAGGGCTTCACCAGGAAGGCAGGCTGGTACCCTTGCCACCACTGCCATCCTTTTGCCATGGGTGGCCTTCCCCTCCCTGGACATGGTGCCCACACTGAGGGCTTGTGCAATGCTGGTTCTCACGTCTGACTTTGGGAGAGAGGAGGAGATGAACAAGGAACATCGGGAGAGGACTGACCAACCACAGACATCCTGGGTACCGCTACCTCTTGGGGAGGGCGGGGCTCTTAGTCCCAGGATGTTGTCACTAGACAGGAGGAAAGGACCTGGGAGAGACTTTCTCCATCCCAGCATGGGGGTGGCACTGACAACTACATAGGATTTGCAAAAGGGGTAGGGGGTTTCTCTTAACATCAAAAATATAAAGCTTGGGCAGGAGTTTGGGGCAACTTGAAAAAGGTGCTGAATGACATCATGAAATTCCCCAGAGCACAGAGGCATGGGACACAGTGGGTAAAAAGCCATCACTCACCTGTGGGAGCTTAGCCAAAGGTCCTCAGGTCCTGAAGACCCTCCTTCCAGGCTCCCTAGGAGGGGTGGCCCTGGCCTGGGACTCCACACCCCTCACTCCTGCCCAACCCCCATGGAAGAAAGGGTTGCACATGAGACAAATTAGCACAGACACTTGTGTCTCACATTACACTGGGTACCTAGGGACAGACAAGGACACCCCCTAGGAGATGTGTCTCAGAGAGGAGAAATGTACCCCAAACAACAAGGAAAAATCCTCAAGGAAAAAGGGAACAGAAGACAATAAAGTTTTCATTGTGATCACACTACAGGAAAAAAATACTTTCTGTTGTTTGCAAAAAATGTGCGAAGGCCAAATTTGTGTTTTTCTTTTCTTAAAAAAAAAGGATTTTGCATGAGTTACAATGCAACCAGTATCTTTTTTTGTTTGTTTTCTGCACTTGTTAAAAAAAGGATTTTTTTTTTTAAGTACAACACAGTCAGGTGTGCGGCCACAAAAGAGCAGCTGTCTTTGGCAAGAAGTCCAGGCCACAGTCCTCTCTGTCACCTTCGGCCCATCTCGCTCTGTCTCATGAAATGGATGTTGTTGGCACTGTCTGACAGTTCCGGGTACTGCTCGACGGAGATCACGAAGAAGCCGTCATAGCCTTGAACCCGCCCTGTGTTCAGCGCCTGCTGCTTCTCGCCCTCTGTCCAGGCCCGCAGGCCCTCCTCCCCTTCCCGAAGTCGCTGCTGCTCGCGGGCCCACGCCTGGCGCACGGCTCTCTGCCGGGCCAGCTCCAGCACCCGCGCCTTTTCCTCGTCCACTGTTGTCCCATAGCGGGTGTTCAGGCACAGGGCCCCGAACTGGAGCTGGATGTCTGTGTAGCGTCTAGTCCTGCCACTGAGCATCGTGTTCATCTGGGACACGGTGACGTTGACCCCATTCTCCAGGGTTCGCCGCCCCCCGCTGAGGCCCAGGATGGCCAGGTCGCCTTCTGAGGGCCCTGGTTTCACAAAGTAGTGGGTGTCTACCCCATCAATGGTGAAGTGCAGGTTCTCTAGGTAGTGGGCATTGTTTAAGATGGCAGCAACCCTCCGCCCATCCTCGTTGGCCACGCTGATGATGTCTGTGGTCACTCGGCCATCCTTCAAGGCAAACTTGACCCCCTTGCCAAAGACAGAGCCACTGGATGCAAACTTCTTTGTCTTTGGGGCCTGCTGGCAGCTGGTGACTGTGGAGTCATAGAGCTGGTCAAAACGTTCCAGGGTGACAAAGGCCTTGAGCTGCTTCTGCACTTCACACTGTACCCCGAGGATAGACTGAGGTGGGTGGGGACAGAGAGAGAAGAAGAAAAAGGGGAGGAAGACAGAGAGTGAGACAAAGGGGAAACACCCCAAGAGCCTGGAGAATCAGCTCACCAAGCTACGTCAGATCTACACGTACGCATCAACCTGTGATGCAGCTCTGCTGCCGGCCACAGAACGTCCCCCCAACCTTCCTCTATCCATTCACCCCTCCTTCCATTCAGAGGCTCTTCAGGGAGCAACTCCTCTGCGCCAAGTCCTCTTCTGGGCACTGGAGATACAACAAGGACGCGGACAGCAGCCTGGCCCTTGAAGAACTCATCGTTTGGTGGGGAAAGACAGATGAGACAGCAAATGGCTGCAACCAAACGTGGAAACTGGCAGCCCAAGTGAAGTAAGAGTGCCAGCTAGGGCTCTTTTAGCTTAGTCTTGGAGTGAAATGATTCACATTCGTTATCTCATTTGATCTCCGCAATGACTTTATATAGTAAGTACTGTTGTTATTCTGATACTACATCTAAGGAAACTAAGGCTGAAAGGGATTATAACTTGCCCACAGGCATCCAGCTAATAAGTATTCCAGCCCATGTTCAAACTCCTCTCTGTCTTCTGATCCTACGGGCTGTTAGGAGGGCTGCTGGAGCAGCAGGCGCAAAGCCAGACTCTCAGCCTGCAGGTAGAGAAGCGAGGTGAAGAAGGTGGGGCTCAAGGGCAGGCTCATGTATGAGGTGGGACTTGAAAGATGAGGGGGTGATGTTAGGTGGAGGAATGGCAAGAAATGCATTCTTGGCAAGAGAGCTCAGCAAGATGAAAAGGAGTCATTTATATAAACCCACTTATCCTGCTTTATTGCTCTGTGCTCTGTTTACAAACGATTTTCAAGGAGACCCTCTGTGCCCTTGCTCTTGGCTGCTCCGGGGGACAGATGGGGCCCTGTCTGCTTGGCATGCCGCGCCCCTGTCCCTCCCATGGCTCCAGGAACTCAGAGGAGCCACGTTCAGGCAGGCTCCGGGGTCTTGTCCGCAACTCAGAGGAATGGCTTTAGAAACAGGCCTGTTGGCTTCTCACTGAAATTAAGTCCTCTTTATAATGAATAGAACCCTGTCTATGAACAATTATTTCCTGGAGTTTCACAGAAGCTGGAGTGCTCAACAACAAAGATCTCTGATGCTTGCCAAAGGCAGAAATCAATAATTCATTGACAGGCGAGGTTAGCAAACAGGCCGTCAGAGGCTGGGGCTCTGTGGTGAGGAGAAGGGAACCGGGCGGCAGGGGAGGAGCCGAGCTGCTGGAAGGTACCCTGCGAGCAATGTTGTGGGTGTCAGGGCAGGCCCAGAGGGGTGGTAGGGATCAGAAAGGCCGGCCAGGGCCACAGAGGGCAGCGGAGGGGGATGGACTTTGTGGCCAGACACACTCGACTTCTCATCACCTTTTGCCACTTTCCAGCGGAGTGACCTTGGGCAAGTTTCTCTCTGAACCCTGGTTTCCTCATCTGCAACATGGGGGAAATGCCTGACTCAGGGGTTGTTTTTTCTTTTAACCGTTTGTTCACTCAACAGAGGTCTCTCTGCTACAAGGCAGGCTGAGTACTAAATAAGACCCACTGTTTGCCCTCTTGGGGCTCATAGTCTAGTGGAAATACAGAAAACAGGAATTAAAATATAATGTGGTGAGTGCTTTGAAAGAGGAAAACATAGGGTGCCCCCAGAGCACAGAGGCACAGAATCACATTCTCCAGAGTCTGGCGGGAGGGGCATCTAGGCCGAAGCCTATGGGGTCAGGACGGAGTTAAGGAGAGGGCTGTGTATGTGTCCGACCAGAGGCAGCGTGCCACCTGTCAGCCCCGCGATCCTCCTCAGTCTGTTGTTCCTCCGGGCCAGGATCCCTTAAAAGGCCTGGCCTCTGCCTGGTTTGTTCCTGCGTTCCCCGGGGGCGGCTGGCGCCTAGAAGAGCCAGCTTCCAGTACAGGCACTATGAATGAGGCCGGAAGCTAGAGGGAATGAGCCAGTGGATGCCTGAAGTGAGGGGTGGGATGGAACTACTTTTAAGGATTTTCACAGCTATGTAATTCCATGAGTCTTTGAAATTGGGCCATAGGAAGACAAGAGAAAGTCACACTTTTTGAGCACCTACACACAGATCTGGGTTTGAATCCCAGCTCCGCCCCTTTCTTGCTGTGTGGTATTGGAAAGCCTTAGGCATTAAATCTGTAAAGCGAGAACAGTAATACCTGGGGTATTTGTATTTGTGAGTTATGTAGAATATCTCATGCAAGGCCAGGTGCACTGAGGTGCTCAGAAAGTGTCACATTGTATTTAGAATACGCCTTCCCTCCCTGCAGTTCCGTTCTTGGTAATGATGGGCTCACTGTTTGTCGTGGAACTCCAAACTCCGTGTAACAGACAAAACTTCATACAGCTTGTCTGTGCTGTTACAGCTGGGTCCCCAGAGCCTCACCTGTGGCAGGGTCACTACATATTTGCCGGACAGTTTCTGGCAGGCACTGTGGATGCACCACCGTCAGCCCAAGCCTTTCTGAAAAGCTGGTGGGACCCATTCCTGTAATGTCCCAGTGGCCCAAGGGGTGGGCAACCGTGTGCATGAATTACCTTGCTGTTGTCCCACTCCTGAGTCTTCATCTGTGTGTGGATGAGCTCGTAGGACGGCTCCATGGCATCCATGTCTGGCTTGGGATAGCCAGGAATCACATTGTGCAGCTGGAATCCAAAGGTGAGAAGCCAGCTGTTGACATCTAGGTGAGAGAGAAGCAGAAACAATCCCCTGGAGTAAGTGGACCTCAGATGTGACCTACTGCAAAAAAGCCACTGAGCGTCAGGCTGCAGGTGGGTGGGGATGTGGAGTGCTGCCGGTGGGACAGGCAGCTGGACAGTCACCCGGAAACTGTCTCATGTATTAAAGCCAAACATACTCTTGGGACATAGCGTCCCCCTCCTTGGCATTTATCTAAGAGAGATATCACTTAAGTGGAACCTAGGTTTCCAAACTCCCTTTTGTGCAGTCACTCCAACCCACAGGACCTGCAGCTTCACACCCAGGGGCAGCTGCTGGTGGACGAAGCCCCCTCTATATCCACTCTCCACATCAACAGGGAACACTTGCAGAGGATAACCACACCCAAAGGAAAGATTTTAACGAATGACTTCCAAAGAGAAAATTCACTTCTGAACCAAACTCTCTGTCCTCTCCCAGCTCTCTTTGCAAAGATTAGAGTCTCAGGGCCAAAGGGGCGCAGGGCACAGAAATGGTGTACCAAAGGTCCAGAAGCTTTTCCCCTTGATCCTGCCTTTTTTATTTACTCTGATGCCTAAGGAAATCACTTAACCTCCGCTGCCTTCATTTTCCAGTCTTTATGTTGGGCTTGTGGATCTACCCCTATCAGCATGGGATTCACTGACTTTATAGTATTACTTGGGAGTGTTAATTATAACATAATAGGTATAGGCTCAGGTAGGATTTTGCCATGAGCATTTGGCCTACTGAAGAATGGCACCAGGAAGATGGAAGGAAAAGAAAAGGGATGGAGGGCGTGCCATCAGCTGCTCGGCTCACACTGCGGAGTGCCTTTCATGTGCCCAGTACTGTGTCATACAGACCCTCACCCTGTGCACTCAGGATCCTGAAGGGGAATGGAGACGTGGGCGTACATCACTTTGACACAGGAAAAAAGATGAGAGGAGGGTGGAAGTCTCAGCTGCACAGGCTGATGAGTCTTCATGAAGGAGGCATTTAAGCCAGACCATGAAAGCTGTGTACATTTTGTCAGCATCTAAGGGTTAAAGGGGAACTTCAGGCAAAGGCCACTGTGCAAGGCAAGGCCTGGGAAGGGGAAGTGAGTGCTTGAAGTGTTCAGGTAAGCAGACAGCAGTTCAGCAAGGCAGAGAGAACCAGAAAGGAAAATTGTGGCTGGAGCATTAGAGCCTGGGCTGGCAGGCAGGAGGTAATCTGGGGCCTCCAGGAGGCAGCCACCCTTCCCAGCAAGGTGGAGGCATGCTGGGACACAGGCTGGCTGCAGGTGCCAAAGCAGCTGTTGACCAGACTCAGAATCCAAATTCTGGGGAGGCAGGATTTGGAGGTGAGCCTCAGAGCTAGCCAACTCCGGGCTGTGGGCATTCAGGCTCGCTTTGGACTTCTTCCAAAGGAGACAGATCTTTGGTAGAGACGTCCAGGCACTGGTAAAACTGTCTTCCCTAAACACCCACCGAGTCCATCCCAGTGCTGGGGGTGTCCTTTAGGGGTCAACAATGTGTCCTTGTCACCACTGCATCATTCCATATTGCCACCTCATTCAAAAACTTCATGTTTGCCTATTTTTGCATTTGTTTTGTTTTATTTTTTGGATGCCCCAGAGTCCCTCTCTTGGATGTGAAACTGGGAAGCACTGAGACGGAGGGGTGGTAGAAAGGGAAGCTTGGAAACCCAGGTTTTACTTCTAGAAAGATCAGTAAGGGAAAGGACATGGTGAGGCAAAACAAAACCCAGGACCAGACTCTGGCTCCCCACCTTGCAGGCTGTGTGAACTTGGACAGTTTCCCTAACCTCCCTGCAGTTCAGTTTCCTCATCTGCAAATTGATGGTAGAAACGTTTTTCACCAAGTCATGGAGAAGCACACTAATAGTGTCACCATTTTTGGGCAGCCATTATATAGAAGAAATGGTTCTAAGCTTGTTACATAAATGACTGGGCTTCATGTGTTTCGAAGTGTTCAGCTCAGTTCTCAGCTCACCGGGGTGTTCTGTGTTTCCTCAAATCCATGCCTCCACATCCCCGGGACCTCCGTTTCCTCTTCCGTAACATGAGGCGCTTGGGCCAGCTTTCCTCCAAAGTCCCTTTCCTCCCTGAGTTTCTAAGAATCTTTGAGTCTATGAATCTTGGCAGATGGTTCTTTGGAAAATTAAAGCAAACACAATAGGGGGAAAAAAACCCTACAAAGTCATTTTGCCTGAGGTGGAAACTTGCTTCTGAATTTATAGTTGCAAAGGAAAGCTTCTATGAAGAACACTACAATTTCCCAGAAAACTAGCAGTCTGAAAAGATGGCTGGGTCTTAATTAGAACTGATAGAAAAGTGGGAACATTTCTCATTATGCCTTTATGAAAAATGCTGAAAATGGGTTTGTTCGTTGGTTTCTCAACAGTACTTTTCTGAAGAGTTGGGAATTTTACTCTTCCTTCTGATGAGAGCAGAGGCGGACATTTCCCTCAGTTTACCCACCTGTTCCAGACTTCAGTGTGGTCCCCTTGGAGAGTGATGAAGAATAATAATCCCTTTCACGTGTGTGTAGCCTTGCAGTTGACAAAGTGAATTTGAGTCCAGGAATGAGGCTTTTGGAGTCAGAGAGAGCAGTTCTAACCCAGCCTTGCCCTTAGGGGTCTAGTTATGTTACCTCTCTGACCCTCTCTTTCCTCTGTAAGTGGGTCTGTGACCCCATCTACAGGCTTTAAGTGAGGGTTACATGTAATAGCCTGTATAGTATATTGGGGGTGGATGTGTTCTGGATGCCTTCCTAACATCCCACTCTGCCTTCTTGCTCTTTCTTTTTGGTACATCCATGCAGTTTTGGGCAAGCTGACTCCCGGTGAGGGCTCAGCCATGGAGCACGTGACTGAGGCTAAGCCAATCAGTGCGTTCTTTCTCCCGGGCCACAGTGGTTGGTTCAGGGGTTGGCATGTGACCTAAGCCTGTCCAACTGTAATATGTATCAGGCACCCTGGAAGAAATTTTTGGAGAAAAGATGTCTTTTAAAATTGTTGTTGCTGGATGTGAATGAAGTTGTATTCACAACCTCATGGCAACTCAAAGATAAGGTTAAGGGAGAATTAGTGGTATCTTGGTTTTTAGTAGTAAAATGGTTTTTTGCATATTTTCAGCAACAGTAACTCATAGGAAAATCATTGGAGGCCGAGACAGGAGACACTCTTCATGCAGACAGATGTAAAGGGAACAGCCTCTCAATCTAAATTTTTTATATATATAACATAATAGGTATGTTGGGCATGGTGGGTACTATGGAAGTTTGCTGGGATGTCCCTGTGCATCCACAGGCCTGAGCTTTCAGCACATCTACCCACCACCGTGTTCTCCTTCCCCACTCTTGGGAGACCTGCTCTCAGCATGACCACCTGGATTCTTCCCTGAGAAAGGATTGCTGTCAGCAGAAATAGGGTCCAGACCAGGCCACCGATTTTGGGGCCCAGGAAGTCATGTCCCTAAGGAGCACTTATATGAGCTGTACACACTTCCCTCCTCACACTTGTGAATGTGCAGTCCCTCTCCCTAGATTGCCTTTTCCCCCATTATCTGATGAATGTCCACTCAGAAGTGGGCTTCAAATATCAGCTGCCCCTGGGGCACAGCCAGTTGTGCCTCCTGTTTCAAAGGCCATCAGTGCAAAATTCCTCACGGCCCCCTCACACTGGGCAGCAGTTGTCTGCCCTCCACTTGCAATGAATTGCTGAAGAGCAGGGATCATCTTTCTATCCCCCAGTGCCTAAAAAAAACAGTGGCTACGCAGAGGATGCTGAACGAATGAAACTACCTTAGAAGAAGGGGAAGGAGCATTGAGTCACAGGACAAAAGAGGGGCAGACCACTCTGGAAGTTGGGATATGCCCAGTTGTTACCCACTACAGTCTTTTACATGAAGTGCTAGCTTTATCCAGACCTGAATCCCCATAGCCACTCTGACTCCTGGGGTCTTCTGTGGCTGCTGGCTGGGAGGATTATGGCTGCTGGAGTCATTTCTGGCATGCATAACCTATGGGACACTTTATATGTAAATTGATTTCAGAGGAGTGGGAAACAAAGCCCACTTTTTCAGTCAGAGGGTAAAGCGAGCCAACAAGAGCCATGCACTATCCTAGGCAGCTTATAAAATGTCTCTCATTTCACCCTTGCAACCATCCTACCAGGAAAGACTTTTTTTTTCCTATTTGTACATCTGTTCTTTGCTCCTTCTCCTCCCCGTTTCCTACCTGTTGGATTATTTTTAGTTTTCATTTTATCTCCACTGTTGATGGATTAATTATGCCTCTGTTTTATTTTTTAGTGGTTGCTCTAGGATTTACAATATGCATATTTAACTTATCAGAGTCAGAGTAGGTATTCTAACTTCAATTTACAGATGAGGAAATTGGAGTTCAGGGAAGTTATGATTTTTTGTGATGGTCACAGCTTAGAAATGGTGGATCCTTCACCCAGTTCCATCTCCAAAGTCTGAATTTTCTATTACATCATCCCAAATAGGAGAACTCTTTATTTTTACCCCCTATACCTTCAGCCAGCTTATTGGGGACTCAGCCAGCTTGATCTCTGGGTCAGAAACTCCCCAAGTACATTCCAAAGGATGCATTCACTGAGACATCAGGGCTTCATGGTAAAAAAAAAAGTGGTTTCGTGATCTAATAAATTTTGAGAAATAGCAAATGTATTAAACAGTTCTTTACTACAGGACTTCTCAGAGTCTTTCAAACGAACTTAAGTGTACTATGAAAATTTAGGAATGGTGGTTGCCCCATCAAATTGATTTGATGCCAGAACCAGTTTTTCCAGAGCATTTTTTCCTCAAATACACTTTGGAAAATGCTGCTTCAAGAGGAAGTCAGTGTTTCCTCTTATCCCACATCAGCTTTCTCAAGGGAGACTGTCTTGTCAGGTGTCTGGAGCAATAGGGAGTCCGGTCCTCTGAACGAGCCCTATTCTTACCTGTCATGAAGCACTTGATGTCCTGAGAGTTGCTGATGGGGTTGTTGTTTTTAAACATATAGAGATTGAAAGGCATGATGTTGTTGCTACGAAGGTGCTTCCACAACTCGTGGTCGGGGCTGGTCCAGCGGCCAGCGAGCACATCATAATCCCGCCGGCCCATGTGGACCAGCTTGGTGAGTGGGTCATAGAGGCCGCCGTGGTAGCCAATGATGATCTGGAAGTTGGGATTGGTGTCCATGTAGATCTCCCCATAGGCTGTGTATAGGATCTGCTTGATCATCAAGCCTGTTCCACTGAAGACAGCAAGAGGGGTACCGATGTTGTCGCAAGCTATATAAAACTCATCACCACTGCTCAGCTCCATGGCAAAGAGGTGTCCTTGCAGGTCGTAGTAGAGGGATGTGATCTCAGAGCTGGAGTGGTTGTAGAGGTGGGTGACTTTGGTGGGGTTGGTCAGGTCTGCATAGAAGAACTGCAAGTGGTGGCTGTGGCTGCTCTTGCTGGACACACGCCGCCCCAGGCCATCATAGCGGTACCGGATGCTCCAGCCACCAGCCCGGTTGTAGGCCCTGATGAGCAGGCCAGCTGAGTTGTACTCAAAGACATCACCACCCCGCTGCCTCAGGAAGCCATCCTCATCCATCTTGTACTGTACATCACCCAGCCTAGTGATGCGGTCACGGAGGTCGTACCTTAGTGGGGTGAGCCGTGCGCTGTTACCAGGGCTCAGTAAGTGCAGGTTCCCATTGAGGTCATAGCTATATCGCCAGAGCGGCTTGTCATTGATGGAGACCGTCTGCAGTTGGCCGTCAGCGTCATACTCATAGGAGTAGCGGGTGGTGTTGGCATAGGGTCCCACCTTCAGCTCCTTCTTCACTACTCGCCCCATGTTATCATACTGGACAGTCATCCAGTACATGAGCGAGCGGAAAATCTCATATTGCACTTCTTTCATCCGGCCATATGCGTCAAAGTGCTTGGTGTGGGTCATGACTGCCGTGGTGATGATCTGGTTAATGTCATAGTAGATGACACCAAACTTCCCAAACTGCTCTGTTTTGCCTGACACATCGTCATAGCGATAGAGATCGATGGGCAGGGGGGTCTCGTTGATCACAGCCTGCATGCTGGTCACCCGGAAACTGTTGTCATAGTTGTAATCAAAACGAGCATTGACCATGCCTTCCTCAGTGAAGCGGAAGATCTGGCGGTCGATCAGGGGCCCGATTTGACGGTAGCGAATGGTGCAGGTGAAGCCCTCGTTCTGGAGGTTGACGGTCTTCAGCATGCCCGCTGACTCATCATAGGCGAAGCTCACCTTGGTAGTGTCATACAGCATCTCAGCTAGCTTCGACAGCTTGCCATACTTGTATGTAACCCTGCGGCCGGTGCCCAGGTAGAAGGTGTGGAGGAGATGCCCGTCCTCAGTGAAGTCCTGGATGACGGAGGCATTGCCCTCAGGGGGCTGGTAGATGTTCCTGTAGTAGCCCACCGAGCGAATGGTCTCTAGCGTCTGCCGGGCCACGTTGGGCATTGTCACGGAAGAAAGGCGATCATTCTTGTCAAACTCAAAGATATACTGCCTCTGGCTGTGCAGGAGCAGCACCATGGACTGGAGGGAAAGGAAAACCAAGAGATGAGAGGGGGTGATGGAGGGCAAGGGTAGGTCTGTGTGTCCAATACTTAAAGGACAGGAATGAAAGGCTTAGGAAACTGGTGATTCTCCTAAGTTATACCCAAACCAGAGCTTTCCAACTGGAGTGCCAGAGGACACTGCGATGGAGCAGAGATGAGCTACGGTAAGGATTTCTCTCAGTCCTTGGCTCTGGCAGGGCTGGGGGCCCAGAGCCCTCAGGCCACTTGCCTTCCTATCCGAGCAGCCTTCTTGGTTTTCCCCGTTGTGTGGTGTAAAAATGATGACTTCAGTACACAGTGGGGTGTGGGCAAGGCCGAGAGCCTGGCCTGGAGTATTTGCAGCAGCCTCTCTCCTGCCTTCCTTGCTCCAGATTCCTTCTCAAATCAATCTTACTCAAGCAAGAATGATTTTCCTAAACCACAGTCTGGCAACGTCTCTTGCCTGCTAACAACTTCTGTTGACTCCCTGTGGCCTGCAGGATAAACACTATGTCTGAGAAGGGCGCTGGGAGTTTTGCATAATTGTTTATGTAGTAACAGGTCACATGCCCACCCTGGGGTGGAGAGGGCTGTGAGGGGAATGCAGAAACCTGGCTTATAGTAGGACTCACTGTGCAGCCCTGGGAGAGCTTTATCCTGCTCTGGGTTTGGCTATTCTTTATGCTGGGTGACCCTCCAGCTAAGGTCTCTCTTAGCGCTACCACAGAACATTGCTCTCAGAGATGCCTTCCCAGCATGGGGTAGGGGAGGCCAACCACAGGCAAGCAGAGCCTGGGCCCTGGACAGGTGACTAGGAGCAGGAAAAAAGGATCTGGGTTCCAGAACTGGGGCATGAAGTTATTTCAAGAATAACTTCTATTTCAAGAATAAGTCAGCTGATAATAGGCCTAGAGGCGTCAAGGCATCACACCTACCATTTTCTCTATCTGGGACCATCTTTTAATTTCAGATCCTCTCTGATTCTTATCCCCTGGGAATACCTGAAGCAGAAGGGATTCACTAGGCCACACCCAGCACTAGAAGCTCATGCCTAAGTACTGATCCCCAGTTCTGCCTTGATCTCTGTGATCAGACCACACTGTATGCCCCAGGCCTGGGAGCCTGCCTGGGTCTGGACCTTGAGTCCTGCTCATTAAGTCCTGGCAGTGCTTGGGCTTCCTCCCAGCTCCATCCTGGCCCTCTGCTGCAGATTTTCCCAAATGTTGGAGATGATAAGGGTCAGATCTGTTCTGTCAAGGTCAGCAGGCTGGGTCTGGCCCTGGGTTGGGTCACAATGATTGGCCTTCCATACAGCAAGGCCAGTGATGGAGGGAGACAGACACCTGCCTTCTCTAAGTACGTGTAGCTCCATGTCTTCCCATCAGCGAAGATCCTGGATGTGATGCGCCCTGCCTGGTCGTATTCCATTCTCTCAGACATGATGCCCCTCTGAACACCGGCAATGTGGCCCCCTGGGGAGTAGGTCACATTGACACCATTCAGCCTGCTGCTGGGTGACCAGAGGCTAGGCCGCCCCGCCTGGTCATACAGGATCCGGAGGGTGAACTTGCGGTGGTCATCATAGATCTTCTCTGTGCGTGTCACACGGTCGAAGTCCAGAGACAGGAGGTTGCGGTTGTGAACCTGGACAAGGGGTAGGAGGAAGGAGGAAGTCTGGTCATTGAGAACTTTAGTCTGAGAAGCTTCTGAGTAGAGGAGGTAGCACAGGTCTTGGACGTCAGCAGACAAGGGTTTGGGTCCTGGATCTGTGATGTTTCCTCATCAGTAAAATGGGAATAATAGTGCCAGTTACACAGGGCTGTTCTGAGGATAAAGACAATTTGGATGCTGAGCAAACAGTAGCTGTTACTGAAAGTGACCCACACCATCCATTTCCTAATGAAACTTTTCTAATGTAGACAAAAATGCAGCTCCTTCTTGACTCCCTCCTAAAACAGGAGAGGCCAGGTAGGCACAGCCAACAACGTCTGACCCCGTTTATTATGTGCCAGGCACTGCTCTAGAGTTTGACACTGACATCCGTGCTCATGCTGTGAGGGGACACACTCCACATGTGCTGACTGGTCAGGGACTTGGTCTGCAATGTTCAGTGGTCCTCTGAGTGAGTCCAGCCCTTCTCGGGGCTGTGGACTTCCCAGCCCCTCTGGGGTCTGTGCTGCCCTTTACCACCACAATTAGGGCTTCTTGATCACCTTGGTCAGCTCCCAAGGTGTCTTCTTCTTCCAGGAGGCCCTGGGACGTAGTGTGTGTTTTAGCATCTGGATGGCTTCTCTAGCTGTGTGCTGCTTGGGGACATATCCTAGCTTTGGGACATTTCGCTCCTGCCTACAGTACGAGGGCCCCTGTATCATCTCCACCTGGCTTCTAGGTCAGCATACAATTTCATTTCCTTTCAGAGTCAGAAATACAGGGCTCCCACCGGAGTGGTGGTAAGGGTTTTCCATATTTTAATAAAGAAATATACTCCAGAGTTGTTCGTATTTTGATCCACCCCTTAGCCACTGGTTGCCCCTAAAACACTGCCAGGTACTCTGCAGCCAAAATGCTTGTTCCCTCTAATTGGTACCTGGCCTTACAGAGCATTTGGGCACATTTTTCTGACTTTTCCATTAGGCACTGGTTAAGTCTGACAAGTAGTAAGAAAGACTCAAGAGGAAAGCAGACAGTGAGGGTCACGTGATAAACCTGCATGTGTGGGCTGAGATAACAAAGGATCCTGTGTGGTAAAAAAGGTTTAGGAATTAAGGGAAGGATTCCAGCCTCAACTCTGTAACTGACTTTTCTGTGTGACATTGGGCAAGTGCCTTTCCTTCTCTGAGTCTCAGTTTCTTCCTCTGTAAAACAGGGCTGTTGTGAAGCTTGAAGAAACCTAAGTAAATTGCCTAGTGGAGTTCTGGGTGCAGAGAAGGTATGAATTAATGATTGTAATTATTTCCATTCAATGACAGCAAATGATTATGGTCATTCTCAGAGGGAATAGATAGATGTGGGTCTCCCCCTTCTCCCCAAATAAATTCCAAAACCTTGAAAATAAGGATTTATAATGATGACACTGAGATGACTTTAGCTGTGAATGGCCTAGTTGTAATAAGGTTGTCTTCCCAGGGGTAATCAAACACAATTGCAGAAGCAAAAACAGTGTGGCAGACAATTCCCATGAAAAATCAGAGGTGCTGGAGGCTGACGCTGTGTTCTTTTCAGAGAGGGCAAAGGAAGATATGGGGTCTGCACCACCACCACCGATGGGGGCCTCTTCAAATCATCTCTTGTAAGGTTCCCTGAGACTCCCTGCAAGGTGGTGCTACCCAGCCAGCTGCCCCCCTCTTCCCCTGGAGGACCCCTAGTGGAGGGGAGCTATACCTCTGTGGCAAAATTAATAAAATTGAATTAAGCAGCTCACTGGGGAACCGCTTAATGCTTCCTGTGCTTGGCAGTGGAGGCAATGAGATTATTTTACATCTTTCTTTATTAAAAAAGTTCCCAGCTGTATAAAAAATGAGTTCCATTATGGGGAGGCGCACCCGGCTAGCATTCTAATTCCACATGCCACCACTGTGGGTGGCCATTTATTTTGGGAGGACATGGAGATGCAGCCACCCACTGGAGCACCATTAATCTCAGGGTGGGAGAGGGCCCCGTAAGCCTGGGAAACTTCCGGTCCAGATCACACGGCAAAGAGGAAATCCTTATAGCACTAATTGCTGCCATTTATGGAGCACCTGGGGTCTACCAGCACTGGGCTGGGTACTTGGAATGTATTATCTTGTTTCTGCAGAAGAATCTGAGGCTCAGAGGAGTTGCTCAAGGCTACATGTGTGGCCCAGGCAGAAAGCAAGCCCAGGGCACACTTCCCACTCAGCATACTGCCTCACATGTGCATGAGGGGACCCTGCAGAATTCAGGGGGCTCACTGAGGCCACAAATGGTGGTAGGCCCCAGAGAACAAAGACAACTAGGCCTTCCTTAGGGAACTAGTGGAAGGCTGTTTCCCACATTAGATGTCGCTAGAGTTCTTGGCTGAGTTCTTTCTTGGCTGTTGAGGAAACACAGGAAGCCTGGTTTTCTGGGTTCTAGTTGTGTGATATTGGGTAAGTCACTTGCTGTTTTTGTATTTGTTGTGGGAATTAAACTAAGAGTCAGGGTGCCTATTTTCTAGTCTTTACCGCCACCTAGCTATGTGAATCTGGAGAAATCCCATTTCTCTGTGGACCTCCATTGTCCCATGTGTCAGATACTTAACTGAACTTTCTCTGCTGAAGGGCAGAGAGCTCAACACAGTGGTGGCTGCATTGCATGAGGATGCTTCTATGATTTTTTAGGAGTCAGGAACATCTGGCTTAGTCCTGTGGTTCCTGTTAGCACAGCCAAGTCTCTGCAGAGCACCTGGGGTCTGCAAGTTGCTGTGTTGAGAGCTAGGGCTGGTTTCTTTGCTTTCACTCTCCCCATCACCTTCCTGTCTGAGGCTGGAGGGAAAAGAAGCTGGGCCATCAGGCCCGGGGGCAAAGCCCACACTCTAGAAACACAGGCGGAAAAAGGGCTGGTTCAGGCAGCCACATGATGAAAGCACTTGGAGGAGCCAGACCACAGACGCCAACCCACTGGCAGTGACAGCTATGGTGGGGGTGGTTTTGCTCATTTAGGAAGGATTACTGCCTGGGAAGAGTGAGGAATGTGCCTTAGGTTCCAAATAGCTAAACTGAATTTTGACACACATTAGCAATAGTAGTAACAGTAGTAAGAACAGCATAACAAGAGTAGGTATTATCAACCACTGATTATGGGCTATATGCTAGAGTCTATATGAGGCACTTTATACTCACTTTATGAATTATTTCTAACCCTGGTAGCACTTGTAAAATTGGGTTTATCTTCCCTATTTTATGGATATGGACGACGGAATTGAGACCTTGCGAGATTATGGATTCGCCTATATCATTTAGGGAACCACAGAAACTGGAAATCCAACTCAGGCTTCACTAACAACAAAGCCAGTAATCTTTCTACAAGTAACAGCTGAAAAGACATACAGGACTTTTATTTCAAGTGGCTGCCTACTTTATTTTCCCTCTTCTGCAGATGAGGAAACTGAGGGTCCAGGAAAACTTTCTCTCTTGAGGTAGTTTCAAGGACAGAACTCTGTTCTCCTCGTTTCTCATTCTTTCCCCCAGAGCCCAGCTACATCCAGAGGCTGAGACCTGCTTACCCGCAGCCGGCGCCCGAAAACGGTGACCTGGCCCCGTGCCTGCTCTTTGCGCTGCCGCCATTCCACCAGGTTGAGGCCATTGTCGATGGGCAGCGTGACGTTCCTCTTGCCCACGGTGGGGTTGACAGTGCCAGCCAGCAGGTGGGGCTCGGTCTGCAGCGCCACCTCCATGCCGTTGGCCAGCAGCAGCCGCAGAGAGCCGTCGGCCCCGATGTAGTAGCTGTTCCTCACCTGGTCTGAGGGGGAAGGACACAGACTCCTCAGAAGGGTTGAAAATGGAGAGGGTATGTGTATGGCAGAGGCAGTGGTGTGGTCTTTAAATGTGTTTATTTTTTCTGACCTTCGAAACAAAACATCATCGGTGAAGAAAACTAGGAAAATATGTGGTGACCACCCATGATCTCAATACCTGAAGAAAACCATTGTAAATATTTTGGTATATTCCTAGATTGTTAGGATATTTCTGAATACCTTTATAGTTTAAAATTGTTGCTTACAGAATTTTCCACTGATCGTCATATTATATTGTTGAATATTCTTCATAGATGTTATCTCAATGACTATATTTCCATGGTATGGAAATACATAATTTATGTAACCAGTCCTCAAATAGATTATGATTGTTTTCATAATTACAAATAACACTAAAAACAAATATATTTGAAACATTATGTTAAGTGAAAGAAGTCTGAGACAAAAGGCCACATAGTGTAAGAAAGAGTTCATTTATGTGAAATGTCCAGAACAGGCCAATTCATAGAGACAGAAAGTAGTGAGGGGAAGGGAGAAAAGGGAGTGACTGCTAGTAGGTGTGGGGTTTCTTTTTGGGGTAATAAAAATTTAACGAAATTAGGTAGTAGTAATGGTTGCACAACTTTGTAAATATACTAAAAATCACCAAACTGTACACTTTATGTGAGGTGAATTTTATGGTATGTGAATTATATCTTCATTAAAATAATGCTTTTTGGATAAATCAACGTCTCCATTTTGGGTGTTTAATCAATACAGACTCCTAAAAATAGGATTACTAGAGCAAAGAGTTGAACATTTTTAAGGCCCTTGATATGCACTATTGTGACAATATTCTTTACAACCAGGTAAAAAATAAGTCCATACTTAAATCACTAACACAATACACAGACACACGCACACATATTTGACAATGATTTAAAATAGATCTGATTTTGAAATTTTAAAACTGGTTAAGACATTTTAATTAGGATCTTTAGCTAAAAGAAAACTTCTGGAGAAAGAGTAAATTTCAGCAGTGAAATGCACACAGAGTTCTTATCTGAAAATGGAAACATCTCAGAGTTTGCACTGCTGCACTTTCCTGCCCCTTGCCCTTCCTCAGCTGCTGCTTCTGTCTGCACTGCCCCCTCCTCAATACATGCTAGCCCAAGTCCTTCTTTCAAGGCTCTGCTTAAATGTCATCTCTTTCCAGAAGTTTCCCCTGTTCCTCTGGTCAGAGTGAATGCTTCCCCCTCCCTTAGTCTCTTTAGGGGCCTCATTAGTAGCTGAGGTCTTGTAGCTGAGGGGTATAGGGTTCACTACTCTGTTACTGAGTGGATTCTCAAATTACCTATGTGCCCACTGGGAGAGGCACTATAGCACAGAGATTAAGGGACTTGGGAGCCGGCTACCTGGGTTCAAGTCCCAGCTCTGCCATTCTTTTGTTATAAGACCTTGAACAAATTCCTTAACGTCTCATGCCTCTGTTCCTTCATCTGTACATTGGGGATAATAACTGTGCCCTTACCTCACAGGGTTAAGTGAGATAATGGATGTGAAGAGCTGAGAACAGTATCTGGCATATATTAAGTTTACATAAATCTTATCTGTTAGTTTTATGTGCCTGGCACTGTGCTACTCATTGTCTTGTGAATCTCTTGTCATCTCTCCTCTATCTCCACTGCCCCATTTCTCACATCTGTCACAGTGAACTTTCCTAGTGCTGATCAGGGTCCTTCCATAGCTCCCCATTGCCTTTCCATTAGTGGTTAAGAAAATGGGTTCTACAGCCTATTTGTCTAGGTCCAAATACCCTATTAGGTGTGTGACTTTGGACAAGTCACTTAACCTCTTGGTGCTTTATTGCCTTCATTTAGAAAATGGAGATATTAATAGTACATCATATGATTGTTGTGAGGATTAAATAGGACAATGAATGTAAAAGACTAAAAATATTCTTCATACTCAGTAAGTGCTCCAAACCGTTAGCTATCATTATTGTTATTATTGCATGTGCTCAGTAAACATTTGCTGCATTGAACTGGGTATATTCCAGGCTACTTCAAGCAATAATGATGTAGTTTTTGTAGGAGACCCTCCCTGAATGAATGGCATCAGACCAGCCCCTCTCTCCCCCACTCCTTCCCTGCTCCATCTTGTTCTCTTTCTCACACAGCATTCTAAAAATCTGCCTTAAACTTGCTATGCATTATTCACTTGCAATCTGTATTTTACTTCCTTTGAACAGTGAAAAAGCCTGTGTCAATTTATCTTTTAAAGCTGCTTTTGCTGAATCCACATATGTCCATTAGTGGTGACTTTGGATGAAACAGCATCTGTAGAGGCCCATCTCAAATGATCCCCATTTAATGTGAGCTGTGACTTCCCAAGGCTGTCGCTCATTAGCAGCTACTTCTTACTTCTTCCCATAGTTCGACAGAAGATGAAAACGAAAGAGCTTTTTACAAAGATTCTACTGAGGTTGCTGTAAAACTGAGCATCTGGGCCTGCTAGGTAAGAAGGAAAGGAAGTTTGGCAGACGTACCAAAGAGGGACAAAGAGGTGCCACGGTTCCTGGATCCTGAGATGTACTTTTCCTTTTCACATTTTAATGTTTCTAAAACTGGAATGTGTCTGAAGTTCTTGTATGAATTTTAGCAGTGTATCCTTCCCCTATCCTCCCCACCCCAAAGTTGTTATTAAATTGATGGTACATTTTAAAACTGAGGAAATGTGGCATTTTTGAATTTTAAAAAGTTGCCTAAATATAAGAAAGCCTGCATTAACTTTTGAGAAAAATGCTGAGAGCCGGCTGACAGGTATGTTGTGGATGAGAAAATTCTTAACCATAAATTAGGCCTGTAGGACAAGATGTCCACGAAAGAGAGGCCCTGCTATCCTTGGCCAGGCAGACGCCTGGCTGGCTTAGAATTGGTACCTTCTCCTGGCAATAACCCAGTCAGAGCACGCATACCTGGGGGATGGCTCAGCCCGCTACTAAAGGGGCCTGGTGGGGACGGAACACCGAGGCATGGTTTCTCTTTCTTTAGGAACAGCTCCTGATCTTTGAGCTTTTTTAAAGGCATAGGGTACACTTTGGAGTAAAAGTGGTTGTGAAAAGATAGTTATTTTCTTATGGTAAATCACAGTGCCTGTTAATTAATTAGTTAATTAATCCAACAAGTACTTACTGAGCAATGCAGTGTACCTGGCTGATGCTGCGCCCTCTAAGTACATTCTCTAAAGAAACTGAGCAACCTGATGAGGCAGGTATTGTAATTCAGCCCCATTCCTCGGGCCCAGGAACTGAGGCTCAGAGAAGAGCGACTGCCCCAGTCACAGAGGGAGGCGGCGGCACGGTAGGCATCGGACCCATCGGTCCACCCCCGCACTGAGCTCTGCGCTGCCCCACACCATTCATCACGGCTTCAACTTGCTCTCTTTCCCCAGAGAAGAAAACTGGGGGCATGGTGATAGATGGCAGAGTCAGGACTAGAATTTGGGCCTTGACTGCCAGCCTAAGGCTTTTGGGAGTGACAAAGCCATCCTGTGGGTGGGAAAACCCCCCGCCAGGCTTTCCCAGCCGTGACTGCTGCTTTCTTATGCTTACGAAGTCCAACAAAGCTGCAAGCACCACTGTGGGTCACCACGTCTCAGGAGAACAATTCAGGCAGGCAGCTCCCAGTGAGGTCTCAGCTCTGCCACTCATCTGAAGCTAAAAGATCAGCTCATATCAGGGATTCTTTGATGGACCCAGAGAGGAAGGGTCTCTTCTCTATGGAATCCTAGCAGAGGCACAAACCATTCTCACCTGAGCTTTGGGAAAGACTTCTCCATGTGCAAATCCCTGTCCTAATTAGGTGTATGTAATTATTCCTGCCCTTTGTCCTTGCCTGCACCAGTGTGAGAGTAAGCCTTTAATCTGGGAGCCATTAGAATGGCAGAATAGTGAGGTCACCTGATTAGCAGCTAACGGAGTCTCTACCCTTTGTTCTGATGATAATGGAATGAGACAATGAAATATTACTCTAAAGCTTCTGGGAGAGAACTTACAGGACTCAGGCTGGTGTGGTTTGCAAATTAGGTGGTAATACAGAGAGAAACCAGTTGCGATGCTTTTCCTATTCTCCCGTAGTAGCAGCTTGTTTCTTGTGTCCTCCTCTTCCAAAGGGGTCTGCCCAGCCCTCTGCCTCAAGGTTCCCAAGTCCCCCCTTGGCTCACCTTGCAGCAGTGTGTAGAAGGCACCTGAGGCAGACAGGTTGGTGGTTATGGTGACGTCATCTTTGCTGGAGGTCTCTACCTGGACATGCACCGAGCTGTCTGTATCACTTCGGAAACTGCTCACCTGGCCAGTGGGGAAGGTCACATTTGTCAGGCGGCCAAAGCTGTCGTACCTGAAAACCAAGGGGTGGCTCTGAGTAACAGAAATATAATGGTGCTATAGCTGGAGCTTGGCATGTTCTACCTTATGTCACAGTTTTGCATGTTTCACTCTCTTTCTGGTTGAATACATTTTCATGTCTCCTCTATCTCTTTGCACATAGTTTTCAGGATAGGACTGTACCTGCTGGTATCTGACTGTAAGAAAATGACTTACCTTTCTGAGTTTCCTTTCCTGTGAGGAGATGAAAGCCCTGTCCTGTCTACCTCCCAGGATTACTGTGAGGACATGTGGAAGTGCCCAGGAGCTATATGCTAATATTCACCCACGAGGTGGGAGATGATGGTGGCCCTATGAGATCGACGACCCAGAGTCTTAGAGCTGGAGAACCCAGAAGTGATATAGTCACACATGATAACTGAATACTCCTTCAAACCCCCCAAGAACTGGGTATAGAGGCTTTTCCTGAACACTAGAGATGGGGTTCCTAGGAAGCTACAGATACGGGGAAAAGGAGACTGAATTCAAACCAGGATTCTGTTGCCACCCAAGGAGGCTGAACAGATGGGCTCTTGAAGCCTATTCCCATCTACACTGCCCATCTGGCACCATGCAGCAGTGTATCTGCAGCTGTCAGGATTCACAGCTTTGTGCTGGTATGGTCTTTTTGAAGCACCATAACTGAATCTTAATTCTCTATCCCATTCTCCTGAGAATAATAAAAGAAATACCTATCATTATTGAACAGTTACAATGTACCAGCTATGGTCCTAGTTGCTTCTCATTTCTCTTTCATATATTCTTTCATTTAATCCTTGCAACTAGTCTAAAAGGTATGTATCCTCTCCTTTTTGGAGGAGGCTTAGAAATTGAGGCGCCAAAGAGTAAAGTCACCTGTTCAAGGTTACACAGCTAGTAAGTGTGGTGGAGTCAAAATTCAAACTCAGATCTGTTTGCTTCCAAGGTGCCATCTGCTTCTGTGTCTTCAGTGAGCACTTCTGTGCTGTCCATCTGCAGGTGTCTGTCCCACCGGCTCTCCTACCTGCTGCAGAGTCATTGGGGGCCGGCAGGCAGTAGGCTGTTAACATTTTAGTTATGTTTAATTATGGGAGGCTGAAGTGTAGAGAGAGGTAGGTTTAAATAGCCCTTCTGCATTTGTGTGTTAATTCCTCATCCAAATGCCAATATTTCTGATTTCTTCTCATGCTCAAGCTTGCAGAATGGGTCCCGCCGTATACGTGTCCTCCATGTACTCTGAGCCTCCCTGTTGGACTTTTTTTCCTGCTTTGCTCATACTACTGGGGTAAATCTGGCCTTTGTGTCCCTGGTGGTTTTAGCAACGGTCAAATGAAGGGCCTGCAAATTCAGCTCCACCCTGGCTTTGTGCTGGGACCTGTAGGTCCTGCAGCACCTACAGTTTCGGGTGAGACTAGCAGGCCTTTGATGAGCAATTTTCTGTCCAAGGTCAGTTTTGGGTGCTGCATGGTTTCTGCCACCTGTTGACTTTTCTGTCCTGTCCCTGGTACTGATACTGGCACTCTTGACCCTGTGACAGTCCCTGCCACAGTCTGTCACAGAGGAGGTATCTTTTGAATGAATCACCTAGTCTGTGACCAAAGACCAACTCTGGGAGAAGGGCCAAGGGGCTTTGGGAAAGTTCAAACTCTTTGCTGCTGATTGAGGAAGGGGAATGGAAGCCCTTTCTAGAAGGTGAGCAGCACAGAGGTCTCTACTACACACCTCAGGCTTGGGCTTGGTGGGGCAAGGCCATTGGGCCCTGTCAGGCCTTCGGGCTCTCCTGTAGGTAGTTAAGGCACTTTGGAAACCCGTTTCCTCTCACAATGTCTCATCTCCCTCCCTGAGCACTGAGTCAGGTTCTTATAAGAAATGGTCAGTCTGGCTTAGGGGAGGGTGGTGGTGTAGCCTGAAACCTGGACTGGAGGGCTGAAGGTGCAGAGTGCCCCTCACAGCTGGGCAGGAGGGTGAGTCATGCGTGGGCTGTGACCTGGCATGTTTGTCCTTTTCTCACCCAGAGACTCTCAGAGCTCTGCTCCTGTTGCCTCTAGGAGAGGCCAGTGTGCATTTTAATCCTTTATGGCTGCTAGAAATTCAAACAGGAAGGAATTTCTCAAAAATGTTTGCTTATCTCTGGGAGGCAGCATTACAGGTGATTTTAATTCCTTATTTTTATATATATTTTATATTCCCAAGATTTTCTAGAATTAACATGGATTATTTTCATAATCAGGAAAGTGCTATGACAACCTAAGTAAGGCCACAATGCAGGGAGCTCGTGAGCATGGCCACCTTGGGGAAGCAGACCTTTTAAATTACTGGCAATTACAGCAGGGTCTCACTGATAGGATGTCTGCCAATATCACTCTCCAGGCCTCTTCAGTAAAATATTACTAGGGAACTCCTTGTCTCTGAGCCAAAAATCAAGACACCCCCCTTCTTCCCAAAACTGGTTCTGCACCATCTTAACTGTACCTGTGGTCTATGAGTAAGCTGAGTCCTGTCAGATCTGGAATCATCTTTTAAATCAACAGGAAGATCCATTTCATGGGATGGGGTGTGTTGTTCTAGTTTGGTTCTCTGAACACCTGATATCCATGTATATACTTTTTATTAATGAGACTCCTCACTCAAACTATCGAATTTCCTGACCTAACCAGATAAAAAAGATTTTAATTGGTGATGCAAGATACTTTAAAATGAGTTGTGGTGTATTATGAGTAAGATTTGACAGATTGTTGATTAGGGGTCAGAGGTCATATCATACTACTTCTAACTAGGCCTTGCTCAAATGCCACCTCCTAAAGCGCTCTCTGGCCTCTCCTGGCCCTTCCAGTGCTACTCTGGCACAGCTCTATCGCAGAAAGGGTCCCTGCATCCTAATAGCTGGCTTTTTTTTTTTTTTTTT